GGGATCTGCCCTCACTTACGGTGTATGTAGCACTTTTGATTTCCTCTTGAACCTTACTTTCAAACTCTTGGATATTTGAGTCCCAGTCAAGGGTCTCTAGAGATTTTAGTAGCTGGTTTTTAGCTATGAAACTATTTGATTTAAGTTTGCAGTTGCTAGTTTCTATCATTACCGGAAAGTGATGACTACCACCAATCCTGGTTGTGTCGACTTTCCAGATGCAGGTGAGGTTCGAGTTTGTAAGGGTGAGATCCAGCACGGAGCCGTTGTTGATTCTAGGGTCTCTTTGGAACGTGTAGTTACCATTATTTAAACACTGAAAACTGGATTCTTGAATGAGCTGCGCTAGAAGTTTGCCCTTGCCAGAGTTCATATTGTCCCCCCAAGCCGTTGCTCTAGCGTTGAAGTCTCCTAATATGAATGTGTTTGGTAGGGTTTCAAGGAAATCTATTAATCTTTGGGTTTCTAGTTTGAAACTGTTTATGCTTACACTTGGTGGGAAATATGCAGAACAGATTACAACATTCGGTTCTAGATTGAGGGTTTTGATGATAATTATGTCACTATCTGTGTTGTATGTAATTTTTTTGAATTTTATATTTTTTCTTAGAGCTATGGCAACACCGCCATACCCATCACTTCTATGCTTTTTGATTATGTTAAAATTTATTAGTTTCCTATGGGGCGAGCGCTTAGAGAAGAAAATTTCGCTAAGAGCGACGATTTCTACATTGTATTTATTAATGTAGTACTCAATCGTATCAATATTTGCTTTTAACGATTGGCAATTGTATTGAAGAAACTTCATTATGGTTTATCAGGTGAAATTAGAGACTCTTTAATTTCAAGTTCGTCTCTCCTGACTAGGATACGTTCGAATTGGTTCTTTAACTGCTGAATTTGCTGAAAACTGCTTGAGTCACTATTTTCAATAGTTAAGTTTTGGGTGATTTTGAGAATTTCCGCTATCAGTCTTTCAAACTGAGTTACCATATTTTTTTGGTATGCAAGCGAATTGTAAACCGGGTTGGGAGTGGTTTTGGGTTTTGTTTGAACAATATGATTGTCGCTTTTTTTTTGAAACTCTCTTTCACGACCATTTTTTACCCTGTAGCTGTATTTTCTTTTAGTGAAATTTCTATTAATGTGTTCAGTCGTGTCGACAAAGCAGTTTTCTTTTGTCATAGGCGGGAAATTTACATCTTCATTTTCTAGTATATCAAAGCGATTGGAATTTTTTGGAAAGTAAGTGTCTAGCACCTCTTTCCTTGTCAATTTTTTAACAGTCTTGATGCGGTTCACCGACATCTCCTTTTCCCAATGTGGGCATCTGTCCTTATCTTTAGCACTATGGCCGTTCCTACCACAGAGAATACATGAGTTGGTTTCGCATTCATTGTTGTTGCATTCTATTTTGCCACATTGCAGGCATCTTTTTTTGGATTTACACCCTAATTTGGTGTGACCTAATCTGCCACAATTTACACATTGCCTCAGCGGAGGAATGTATATGTCTACGTTGAGTTTTGTATGCTCAAAAATGATTTCTTTGGGGACGTCATTGCCTGCGAAGCCTATCTTTATTGTTGTAGTGGGAGAGTAGTTGTCGCCTGCAGGGTCTTTGCGTTTGAATCGCATAACAGACACAATTGTGGCTGCAGATCTTGAATTTTTAAGAATGTCATAATCACTGAAGCATACCGGTACACCACGTACCACACCATAAGTTTCAAGAGCTGATCTGGGTAGGAATGGCTTTAAACCCCTCTTCCTTATTCTGTTATCCAACAGAAAGCTGTTTGCCGCATAGACGTTAGTGAAAGTAACTTTATATAGAGATCTACCTATCGCATAAATGAGATCAAGGTCCTGTACTTTGAGGTCCTTAATCTGGCTGAGGAGGGTTAGGCCAGTAGTAATTTTATCATTATTCATCGCTTGGCACCCAGACGAGTCAACCAGCAGGAAAATTTCGCCTTTGAAGTTTGGCGGGTATTTCACAAGAATTGATGATTCTTGCTTGTCATTTTTTGCTTTTGGCGCCAATTCGCCCTCTTCAGCCACATTAAGAACTCCCGTTATTTTTTCTATATTTTTCTC